ATAAAAATTAGTACTTATGAAAGTATCTTTAAAGACGTTATAATTTTGAAATTGATTACATGTATTGAGAACTCAACAGGATTTTCTGTAAAGAAAATACGTACTATGGCAAAAAACAGAAAAAAAGTTTATTTTGTAACAATTACTATCATGCCCAATTTAGTAGGGGCAAATTATACAGATATAAACCATACAAAGAATATTCATTCTTTCCGTCAAATTTTAGTTAGCAGATGTTCTTGTAATTCAGTAGTAGTGGCTCACATCCATAATCCTAGCAATCGATTAGGAGGATGAAGTTTGAAGCCAGCCCAGGCAAAGAGTTCGCAAAGACTCTCAAAAATAGCCAATGCAAAAAAGGGCTAGTGGAGTGGCTCAAGTAGTAGAGTACCTGCCTAGTAGCAAGAATTCCCAAGTTCAAACCCCAGCACCATCAAAAAAAAAGAATCAATAAAACAAAAAGTTGGTTCTTTGAAAAGATAAGTAAGGTTGACAAACCCTAGCAAACCCGATAAAACGAAGAGGGAAAGACCCAAATTAATAAAATTAGAAATGAAAATGGGGAGCTGGGTGCTGGTGGCTCATGCCTGTAATCCTAGCTACTCAAGAAGCAGAGATCAGGAGGATTGTGGTTCAAAGTCAGCTTGGGCAAATAGTTTGTGAGATCCTATCTCGAAAACCTTTCACAAAAATAGGGCTGGTGGAGTGGCTCAAGGTGAAAGCCATGAGTTCAAGCCCCAGTACCGAAAAAGATAAAAAAAAAAAAAAACAGAAAATGGGGAAATCACAACAGACACCAATGACAACGCAGGAAATCACTAGGGATTACTTTGAAAACTTATATTCAATAAATTGGAAAATCTAGAAGAAATGGACAAATTTTTAGACACATATGACTGACCAAAAACTGAACCAAGAAGGTATAAGTCATGTTACTAGATCTATAATAAGCATTAAATTTAATGCAGCATATTAACAGAAGCAAAGACAAAAACCACAATGATCATCTCAAGAGATGAAGAAAAAACATTCAACAAAATTCAACACCCTTTCATGATAAAAGATTTGATGAAAGTAGGAATAGAAGAAATGTATCTCAACATAATAAAAGCTATATAATGATAAGCCCATTTAGCCAACAGCATACTAATGGCAAAGAACTGAAAACTATTTCCTCTAACGTCAGGAATGAGACAAGGGTGTCCACTCTCTCCACTCTTATTCAACATAGTCTTGAATTCCTAACCAGAGCGGTAAGACAGGAAGAAGAAATAAAAGGAATTCAAATAGGAAAGGAAGAAGTCAAACTATCCCTATTTGCAGATGACATGATCTTAAAAGACCACGGAAATGCCACCAAAAAAACTCCTATATATCATAACACCTTCAGCAAAGTAACAGAACACAAAATCAATTTACAAAAATCAATAGTCTTTCTATATACTAACAATGAACAGATTGAGAAAGAATATAGGGAAACAATTCCATTTACGATAGCCTCAAAAATAAAAAATACCTGGGAATAAACTTAACAGAAATAAGACTTCTACAATGAAAACTATAAACCATTGAAAAAAGAAATCTAAAACTACAGAAGATAGAAAGATCTCCCATGCTTATGGATTGGCAGAACTAATATTGTGAAAATGGCTATACTACCAAAAGCAATTAACATGTTCAGTGCAATCTCCATCAAAATTCCAATGACATTCATCAGAGAGATTGAAAAATCAACCCTAAAGTTCATTTGGAAGCACAGAAGACCTCACATAGCCAAGGCAATACTGAGCAAAAAGAGCAATGCTGGAGTTGTCACAATTCCCTGAATTCAAAACTATACTACAGAGCCCTAGCAATAAAAACAGCATGGTACTGACACAAAAACAGACGTGAGACCCAGACAAGAATCCATGCAGATACGTCTACCTAATTTTTGACAAAAGTGCCCAAAACATAATGATGGAGAAAAGACAGTCTTTCAACAAATGTTGTTGGGAAAACTGGATATCTGCATGCAGAAAACTGAAACTATATCCATGTCTCACATTCTATACAAATATCAACTCAAAGTGGATAATGACCTTAATATAAGACCTGGAACTCTGAACCCAGTGCAGGAAAGAGTAGGGAATACACTAGAACTTATAGGCATAGGCAGTAACTTCCTAAACAGAACTCCAAAGGCTCAACAACTGAGAAAGGATTAACAAATGGGACTACATGAAACTAAAAAGCTTCTGCACAACAAAAGAAATAATCACCAGACTGAAGACGGTGCCCATTTGAGGCAGGCTAGAAGTAGGAAAAGTTTGGGTGGGGCTCATGTAGGTTGCCTGGGGATGGACCAGATCACGCTCACCTGGTTGGAAACCGCCCATGCCCCTCCCCACTCGTTCATTTTTAGGTGGGAACCTCCGGGGGCCTGCCCTCCCCGTGGGGGTAGTGTAGGTTTTAAAAACACCTGAAAAAGAAAAGCTCTCTCTGAGAATACCCTCTTTGCCCTTTGCTTTTTATTCCCTTTCCTCACCTGATAAACAGGTGACTCTCCTTTTCTCAATAAAAGCTATCAGGACTGGAGGTGTGGCTCAAGTGGTAGAGTGCCTGCTTTGTAAGC